GCAGGCTATGGCCGCTGGGCCGATTACTGCAGCTTGTATAGTACTAAAACAAGACCTGTGCTTGCTCGTGCGGCCCGTGGAGCTGGCAGATTCCCAGCATGCAGTGCGCCATCGTAATTCAAGTGCCAAGCCCACGCTGCATGCTGAGACCTGTAGTTTCCGGGGGCTGCACCTCTGTATTCATGCCGGTGGCAACAGTTTGCCCTGCTTTACGTAAACAAGCTGCCCGAGGTCACCTGGTGAACTGCAAACATGGCCGTCTTGGGCATTGTCCGATTTCCAGACAGCCCAAGAGGGGGAGCTGGGTTCCACCGGCAGCGAGCCGCCCAGCCGGCGCGAGGGGCGGGGATGAAGTACAGGCATCAATCTGACTTGCGAGCGACAGACCCGGGTCTGGGCCAGAGGGAATCTAATGAACAATAAAGATATCAGTGCATATTTGTCGAAGGCCAAGGAACCCTCCCCGTGTGTACACACAGTGTAATTTCAGTGAATTATGCATAGACTTAATTAGGAGTTTTAATTGCTAATCATCTCCCAGTAGGATTAGCAGTGTTGTCTATTAATTATCTGTGGAGCCCTGTGTTTTGCTAAGGCAGGAGTAACAGAGCGGCATGAATGGTTACATATGCCGGCAATAAATTCACTTCCAAGAACCCGCTAGGTCCCAAGGCCCAGCGAAGGCCCTGCTTGCGGGGAGGAGCCCGACACTCCTGGGCAGAGCCGCAGGGGGCAGGGGCAGTGGCAGGGCTTGCCTGGCGGGGTTCGTATTTGGCACCTGTATCTTTATCCCTGAATTCTTGCTGTGTCCACTCTCCCCGCACCTCCGTTTAGGTCACCACACACCTGCTTGTGGGGGGACAGGGAATTTATTTTATAAATCCCACCATGGTCCCTCGTCTGCTTCTGGGGCCTGGGCACCTGCAGGCAGTCAGGGGCATTGCCACTGCCAGGGCTGAGCTGTGAGCTGGCCAGCTGCTCTCTGAGCAAAGGCCGTGTGTGGCCATCTGCCGTCAGGGCTAGAACTTGTGACCCACCGGCTGGCAATGCCGAGAGTTTACTCTGCACAGGGTGCCCGTGCAGCTCAGCATCCGAGAGAGGGGTTTTCTCCAGGCCTGGCACCTGGCAGAGGGACTGAAATTGGAGTTGCATGGGGAAGAGGATACGGAACCCGCCATGCCAACGGGCACACGTACTATAGCACACCATGCTCCTGGGCTGGGGAGACATGGTACCTGCTGTGCCAATGGGGATATGTACCATAGTACACGGTGCCCCTGGGATGGGGGGACGTGGTACCCGCTGTGCCAATGGGGATACGTACCATAGCACACGGTGCCCCTGGGCTGGGGGGATGTGGTACCCACTGATCACATGGTGCATCTGAGCTGGGGGGATGTGGTACCCGCTGTGTTAATGGGGATATGTACCCTAGCACACAGTGCCTCTGGGCTGGGGGGACGTGGTACCCGCCCTGCCAATGGGGATATGTATTATAGCGCATGGTGCATCTGGGCTGGGGGACGTGGTACCCTCTGTGCCAAGGGGGGTATGACACCCACTGTGCCTTTTGAACTAGGATACCCTGCTGTGCCACCGGGACCACAATGCTGCTGGACCAGTGCTGTCTGGTGGGTCTGAATTGGGCAGCCTGATATCCAAGGCCGTTCTTTCCATTTTGTAAGGGTCGTGAAGCAGCTTCAGCCCCTGGAAAGGGGGACCCTCCTTTCTGCGCGTCGCTGCGACCACCCCACCCCCGGGCTGGCTATAGGCAGTGCCTCTGTGCCCGCCTGGCGCCCGCTGGGTTCACTGGCACCCAGCCCTGCCTTTCCACCTGTGAGCTCAGCCTGAGATTGTGGGAGAGGGTTGCCCTCCCGGTAACCAGCCTGTGGGCTAGTAAGCGTGGGGGCTGGCCAGGGTGTGGTGCTGGGCTCCTTCTGGGGTGAGAGTGCCGCCGTTCCAGGCCCATCAGTGTTGAGGGCAAGGAGCCAGGTGTGGTCCTGAATACCCCCCCACCCCAGGAGCCACGTCCCTGCGTTCTCCAGGTAGGGGATCACGGCTGAGGTCCGTCCTGGGGAGCAGGGTTCTCGGCAAGAGCGGCAAGGCGAGTGGGCCTGCGGCGATAGACATGCTGCTGGGTTCACGTGATCTGCTCAGTGGACAGTGGCTCACGAGGCAGCAGATCAGGCTGGGGGGAGTGAAGCTAAGCCCTGGCCTCTGTTTGCCAGAGCTGGGAATGGGCGATGGGCTGGATCACTTGATGATTCCCTGTTCTGTTCATTCCCTCTGGGGCACCTGGCATTGGCCGCTGTCGGCAGACAGGAGACTGGGCTAGATGGACCTGTGGTCTGATCCAGTCTGGCCGTTCTGATGTTCTTAAGGCAGGTGCTCCCAGTGCAGCCGTGGGTTTCGTTCCGCGAGCTGAAGGGGATGCGCTGCTGTCAGGAGGTAATTATAGATGTGTGTGACATGGACGCTCAGCCAGGCTGTTTGCAGATTTGCATTGTCCTACCGGTTTAACTTCATTAGCCGCTCCTCCGCCCCTCTCGCTGGGAGTCAGCCCCGGGGATGGCAAGGCCCATGTTGTGCAGCGTGTCTGGGACAGGTGCAGAGTCCCTTGTGGTGCCAGGGTCCCTCCGGCAGGGGAGCGGGCCCGGAACCGTCTGCCCTATGGTCAGGCATTGCCGCCGGGGAGCAGAACCGCCCGATGAAAGGCAGAGCTCCCGGCCGGTGGGAATGGGGAGCTGGCAGGGGACAGCCTTTGGGCCAGAGAGCCCCCATAGGTGGCTGAGGAGGGCACCCCCTGGGGGCGGGAGCCCAGGATACAGTCCCCCAGCTCCACTGGCTGTTGCATTATTTATCCCTGGTGGAGAGGCTGAGGGCAGCCCGGGACAGACTCGCCCATAGTTCCCTGCGGATGGTGGCCGGTCCCCGTTCAAACCGCTCCAGCCCCCAGCTCTCTGCTCTCTCACAGCTCAAAGCGAGAGGCGGCGGTACCTCGGAGGTTGGGGGGGCTGCTCTGGTGGGCGTGCTCAGAGCACACCTTCCGGGTCACCATGAACAGGTGGGTGCCCAGGGGTGCAGGCACCTGCAGAGCTGGGGGGGAGCCAGGCAGGGTTTGCAGGATCCCAGGGGTGTTAGGTGCCTAAGTCCTTGTGTGGATCTGGGCTTTGTACCCACAGTGCTGTGAGCTGCTTGGGGTTCTGTCCTGCCAGCCGTGCAAAACCCAGCCCCGGGAGAGGCGGACGGGGGGAGGGCTAGTCAGGTGCCAATGGGCAAACCAGGGATCCAGTACTGGCGAAAGCCAGGGCAAGTCCTGAGGTGCAGCGTGGAGGGTCCAGCTGCTGGGTCACCCAGGGGGTGGGGGGCCAGGAGCAGGGGCGTGGGGGAGGATCTGGGCTCAGGCCCAGCCAGCAGCTGTTGTGTGTCTACTTGCACAGCACCCCCTGGTGCCCGGAGCGTAGCACTGCAGCTTTGTTCTCACTTCCGTTCTCACTGCCTTTGTTCTCGATTTTGTCCTTTTTCTATGCGTGGGGGTGGCTGGTGCTGGGTGTCCCCCTCCTCTCAGGGGAGCCAGGGGGACAAACTGGTTGCAATGGCTAAGCACGTGCACAGAGATGTGTGAGGGGGAGGGGCCCTGCGTGAAAGGGTGTGGGGAGCAGAAGGGGACGTTCATTGGAGGTGTATCATGGGCTCTTGGCTTCTTCCTGCCCTCCTGAGCCTAAGACCCATAATTCCCCGCTCCATCTCTAATGTGACAGTGCTCCCCGGCCCCCTCCTTCATTTGCACGGACGGGGGGCCTGTCCGCCAAAGGGGGACACACCTCCTGGGATTCTTGCAGATTCCAGCAGGAGAATCGCTGACTAGCCCAAAGCAACAGAGGGTCCTGTGGCACCTTTAAGACTAACAGAAGTATTGGGAGCATAAGCTTTTGTGGGTAAGAACCTCACTTCTTCAAATGCAAGTAATGCTCTGCAAGCAGTTGAGGTGTGAACACCACCTCCCTTGGTGTTCACACCTCAACTGCTAGCAGAGCACCTCACCCTCCCTGATTGAACTAACCTCGTTATCTCCACACTGATTTATACCTGCCTCTGGAGATTTCCATTACTTGCATCTGAAGAAGTGAGGTTCTTACCCACGAAAGCTTATGCTCCCAATACTTCTGTTAGTCTTAAAGGTGCCACAGGACCCTCTGTTGCTTTTCACAGATTCAGACTAACACGGCTACCCCTCTGATACTTGACTAGCCCAAAGACAGCTGCTGTGCGCAGGGCAGGAGAACGGAACTGGGGCATGGGCTCTCTGCCTGGGAACGTGCCCGAGTGAGCCATCCCCCGACCTCCTGAGCACGTGTACCTGGCCGGACGGAGACAGGGTGCAGCCCTCAGAGCCGCTGGCCATCTGCCCTCAGAGGCTGTGGGGAGGAATGAGTGACTGTCTGAACAGCGACCCTCCCCACTCCAGTGGCCATTGCAGAATGTCCCCTCTGGGGGTCTCCCACCCCGCTCTGAGGCAGCTCGTGCTGGGGACAGCACCGGGCAGGCCCCGGCACTTCTGGAGCTGATGGCTAGAGACCATGATTCGTTGTTGTTGTCGTCCCTTCATTTCTGGAGGCCCTGAACGTTGTGGCGCTGGGCACAGGGCAGGGCTGGGGGGCTCCGCGGCCACTGGCGGGCGATGGAGATTCCTGAATGTCGAAGGGGCTCAGGTGATGGAAAGCGCTGGGTCGGTGCTGGGCGTTCCCATGGCTGGGCGGATGTCTGAAACGTGGCGCAATCTTGTTGGGATTAGACCAGAGCTCCGGGCTGGCTGTGATGGGGGGCGTCTCAGGACGGCTGTTGTGAGAATACAAAGAATTGGGAGCACTCCGGAGCCCCAGCCGCCCTGGCAGGCGGAGCCACTCCAGAGCCATGGCGAAGGGGCCGGCGGATGCTGCTCCCAGGCAGAAAGCACCTGCCAGCCGCACGGCGAGCTAACCCTGCTCTCTCTCTTTCAGGCATACAGCTTCGCCATGGGGAGCTGGCCGAAGAACGGCCTCTTAGACATGAACAAAGGACTCAACCTACAGCACATAGGGAGGCCCCACAGCGGGATAGGTGAGTGACGCGTGCGGGGCTCGCGGGGGCCGCACCAGCCCTGCTGGACTCTGGGGGTGGCGGGAGCCTGCCAGCCGCGGGGGCTGTTTCTTGCAGCGGGTCGGGAGGTTTGGTGCACTCGGGGCTGGGACGCTGCTGTCTCTGAAGCCCTTGAGAAAGGCTCCGGGGTAACTTTAAACCCAGGCCAGGGAAGACGTGCGCCCCACGCCCCACCCATTGGGGCGCCTCAGCAGCTTCAGAACGTGAGCTGCTGCCCGGGTGCCAATCCGTGGCCTGCGCCAACTCCCCTCCGTCCACTGGGGGGCCCCCCAAGCTGCCTCTGTGGCACACGCGCCGGCTCAAGGGTGTAGCCCATCTGTTACCTTCCCCCGGCGGGATCCCTCGGGCTTGGGCTTTGGTCCGCTCCCGATCCCCTCTCACTCCCCAGGCTGGGCACTGGATGCTGGGCCCTGGCTCGGTGCGTCGTCTGTGCTCTCCCGGCGAATGGCAGCGCGTCGCCGTATCGGGCTGCCACTGCCTGCGGCCGGCTCTGCGGGACTTGCCGTGGGGTTGGGAAGCAGGATGCAGCTGCGTTACAGAGCCTGGGGAATTGAGCTGGTTCGTTCCCTGGTTAGCTCGCACGCGTGACGAGTTTCATGGTCGGGCACCTTGCCTCCTGGTGGACAGACCAGAACCACAGTTCAGTGTGCCTGGCTGCTCGCACTCGGAAGGGGATCAGGAAGCGCAGCAGGGCTGAGGTGCATGGGAAAGCCGTGTGTGAGGCCATGCCTGGAATAGCAGGGGGACAGGTCTGTAGGTCAGGCTGGAGGGCAGTGGCCTTGCTGTGGGTGGGAGCCCAGAGCTGGGAGAACAAGGGGGCGGCGGCTGGACTGGGTGGAGGGGGCTGTGGGGTCGGGATTAAGGGGTATTGGCGGAGCTGCGTGTGGGCTAGCAGGGGACTGCAGGTGGGGACGGTGTGCCAGGGGAGCCCTGGGCTGTGGGTCGGGGTTGAGGGGTATTGGCGGAGCTGCGTGTGGGCTAGCAGGGGACTGCAGGTGGGGACGGCGTGCCAGGGGAGCCCTGGGCTGTGGGTCGGGGTTGAGGGGTGGGCTCGCCCAGGTTGAGGCACATTGGCGGAGCTGTACAGAGGAGTGCAACATGGCCAGTGGTATCAGCGTCTCACTGACCCCAGCAGCCCGTTGCTCCGCTCCCCCATCTTGGAGAGATGCAGCAGGTTCCAGGTCCCTGCCCTTTATCTGCCCGGCGTCCGTACGTGTCTACGCTGGCCAGGCTCTGAGATTGAGTTGGAAAAGTCACCCGCTCCCTGAGCCTTGAGGAGGCTGTTTAATATTGTTCCAAGGCTCTAACCACTAAACTCTCCAATCAATCCGAGTTAAGGAGATGAATTATTTAAAGCTCACCAGCTTTTAATTAGCAGGCTCCTTTTGAACTATGGATCTGGCTGTATTATTGACGGAGGGAGCATTAAAATTTGCTTCCTTGCCCAGTAGCACATTCGTGTCACTAGTGCGTGGGGTGGGGGAGGCCCCCAGAATATGGGGGTCTGATAAGAACCCGCTCAAGCTCGGGTGAGAGGTCACAGCCTGCTGTGGATGCGTCGCTCCTTCTCGTCACATTTCCCAAGAGGGGCTGTTTGTCTGGTGTCTCCTCTTTCCTTGATAAAGCGCCGAACACCCCTTGAATATCATCTGTCTTTGCCTTTAATTACCGTCTGCATTTATCAGAGCGTCATTAGCTGGCTGGGGTGTTTGTCTGCCCTGATGAATCGTTTAGAAAGACAGTTGTTTGTTCTCCCCCTCCCGCCAGTCGCTCTGTTCTTTATTTCCCCCCGGCCTGAAGGAGGGTTTTGCGTCTCGTTTCAGCAAAGCAGCCTCCAGGTGGGAGCACAGGCTGCTGCTGTGGGGTCTGGCGTGACGCCCAGGCCCAGTGCCTGGAGTGGGAGCCAGCGTGGGCACGAAACGCGGCCACGGTGCCTTCTCAGAGCCAGGGGGTCGGGGCCCTGGGGCTGCCCTGCTGGGGGGTCGGGTCGCAGTCAGAAAGGCAGTTCTCACAGGACAGTAAGGTGGTGCCCGGCTGTGTCCCCATCCAGCCATGGTGTCCTCTCCAAGGCCTCTGTGGAGTTGCTTGGGGGAGTCCAGTCCCTGTCCTGCCCCCGCTGAGGGCCTGGGGCACCCCGCTCACGCTGGCGCAGGCCTCGCCCTAGGCACTGGGGACTCAGCTGAATAAATTGCCCCTTTTCTGAAGAGCTGCTGCTGGAAGGGGGGTGCTGGAGGTGGCCGACAAGCTGCTCATCGCAACTCCCAGTGGCAGGCAGTGAGAGAGCAGCTGCTGGCCGCGGTGCAGCTGGGAGTCTTCCAGCAAGGTCTGTGCCCCCCTCGTCTTTCACAGGGTGGTGTGGACTGTGGCGACTACAAGTCCCAGCATGCAACAGGGCCTGGTCCTTCAGCTCACGGCTTGCATAGTCCTTCTGGGCTGCCCCTGCGTGGGATACAGGGGGGGCAGCCGGACTCAGTTCTCAGGTTTGCAGCTAGGGGTCGCTCGCTCCCTCGAGTTCCAGGCCTCCTGGTGTGGGGCCCTTGTCGCACACAGCCACCCCCTCCCCCATCGCCCTGGAGGGGGCGGGAGCACGCGGTCCCCTCCCCCATCGCCCTGGAGGGGGCGGGAGCGCGCGGTCCCCTCCCCCATCGCCCTGGAGGGGGCGGGAGCGCGCGGTCCCCTCCCCCATCGCCCTGGAGGGGGGCGACAGCGCATGAGGGGGCACTTCTGAATTAAGGAAAATAGGTTCAGGCCTGAGCTTCCCAACTTATCCCAGGTGCGTGTGGGGTTGGGCGGGAGTCAAGACAGGGTGGGCTAATGCCTGCGATGCTCAGGGTGGGTGAGACTCAGAAAGGGACCCCCGTCCCCTGGTTTTGTACGTCTTAGCACCAAAACTGATGGCTGATGAAGCCCCCATGGGTGTCAACTGCTGACGTTTCCTGCCTTCTCCCTAGCGAGAGATCCGGCATGGAGAGCACTCCAGCTCCCCGGGCCAGGGTCTGCAGACGCCGCTCGCGATTGCAGGAGCCTCCGTCCTTGGGCACGTCACTGGAGACACCGCAAGGGGCTTTGGGGCTCAGTGGGCAGCGCTGTAGGGAGTCCCAGCCACACCCAAATGGACCTGTCCCAGCTGAAAGCTTGGCCTGCGCTATTGTTGTACTCTGCAAACCTTCACCCTGCTGTGTGCGTGGCAGCTGAGGTGCTCCGGTGCCCTGCAAACCTGGCGGGAGGTAGATGGATGCTGAGTGTGCGGTACTGTCCTTCCCAAGGCCTCTCGGGCGACTCTCCCATCGCACGATGGGCTGGCCCGTCATCTCACTCCGCAGTGCTCTCCGGCGTGCTCGTGGAGTACGTGGGTCGCTCTCCTAAGACCTGCTGCTTTGGGCACTGGTGTGTGGAATCTCCCCCCGCTGAGACGGCCAGGCAACGGGGGTCTCCTGCACGTGCTAAAACCTGCCTTTTAGCCCTCGTTTAATTACCGCCTAGAATAAAAGAGCAGCTCCTGTGTGCAGCCCCCTTTCCTGGAGCCATGTTTCCGGGGGGATCCCATCGGGGAGGCCGGCAGTTCTGCTAAGACCCCAGCCCAGTTTTCCAGAGGTTTGCAACATGGACGATTTGTTTCAGAGCTGACAAGAAAATTGTAGTGAATTGCCACTTGCATGCAAACAGCAGGGAGTTTGGCCCTCTCGGTGGTACCTGTTTCCCAATTAATTCCATGTTGTTTTGTTTTCCAATTATTCGGAGACTTGCTGGGCCAACTGAAACCTGCACAACTCAGCAGAATCCTGTTTATCCTGGGCCTGATCCTGCTCGGTGCAGGGCCTTCTCCACTCGCTGGGAGTTACGGGCGCTCAGCGCCTGCCCGGTCCGGCCCTGGAGTCCATAAAGAAAGGGTAACTTGGGAAGTGTGTTCTCCAGAGTGGGAGGTGGTTCTGTGTGGGTCTCTGAGCATTGTCATGTGGGACGTGTGGCTACACATACACAAAAGGAAGTTGCGAAGCGGGAGACCCACACTCTGAGCTGGCAATGGGGCTCCACGCCAAGAGGAAGCTGCTAGTCCTGTTGTCCTACTGCCAAGGGCTAGTGAGGCATTTTATGGCCCCAGAGAGTCATGTGACCATCTTCTGGGTTTGAGCGACGGTGCCCATTGTGGTTGCTTTGGAGGAGGGGAGTGGGCAGCTGGGTACAGAAAGGGGGAAATGCCAAGGAGGAAGGTGGGGGATAAATCCTACTCCAGTCTCTTTCCCCCAGAGTCAGCTGGATGGGAGGGTCCTGCTCTGGACAACGAGGACCAAAGAACCCCTCCTGCAGACTCAGGAAAGGGACCAAAGGGAGGGAATGTCCCTGTGTGGCCCAGCGTTGATGATCTGGCTGTAAAAGCTTGCTCCAGGCCACCCCTGGACACTGAGGGCCTCACCCATCCTCTCTTCCTCTGCGTGCAGTTTTGTGCATGCAGCCACTTGCACAGGCAATAGCACTTGCTTGCACGGGTGGTAGAACGTACGTGTGCAAAACCCCGTTGCATTTGCACATGGGTCCAGTCTGTGGAAGCTCAGTTTTGCATTGTAAGCTCTGTGGCGCAGGACGTGCCATTGACTGTGTGTGTGTGTTTCTCACCTTTGAGCTGATGTTTGCTCATTGTGTAACTCAAACAACTTTGGCTTACGAAGCTGACCTTGGCAAGCTAGTGCCCCGTAGGGAGGGCCGGCTGCGGTGGGGTGGGCGAGCGCCGGTCAGAGGGCCCTGTGCGTGGTTCCCCTGGTGGTGGTGCCCTCCCGGAGTGCCGATGCAGAGCAGAGTGTTGTCCCCAGGGCTGCTGGAGACCCCCATTCGGGAAGAAGCAGTGGTGAAAGCCGTCATTGTACTTGACCACTTTGTACAGCTTCGTGCTGTAGACACACACTGGCGGCGCTGAGAGGGGCGATAGAGGGGCTCGGTGCCCACAATCCCTGGCGACGTCCAGG